TGACCGGTATGGTCACCTTGTGCCGTGCCAAAATGGCTGGCTGCTCAGACCGCTCCGGCCACCTAATGACTTGCTCGAAAGCTGCCTACTTGTACTCAATAATTCAGCAAGTCTTGGCAAATAACTTTGGCGTAAGCCTCCTACGCTCGCTGCGAGCTGCTCCAACCTTATAGCGATGACCTCCAACTTTTTTGCCTTGGTTTACTCAGGTTTTTTAAACTTAGGTTGCCATGTGGCGAGCGGCGTTCGAGTCAGTACGCATTTCTATAAGTGTGAGTCACCCCTTGCCTAGGGGTTCAACGAAGACGATTTGCTGAAGCACTGGGAGACGCCCTTGTGTGTACCTGCAGTGATCAACGCCCAATTCCTCCTGCCCCCTTGTAGAACAATTTCCAGCCCTTGCTGCGGTTTATCATTCTGCCGCGTTTTCTTGCATTGTTGAAGCGCTTGCAATTGGGCGGACCCATCACTCTTGCCGTTTGCATTAACTAGCCAGTCAAGCGATCCTGCATCACTGACAACCACTGAAATTTACGTTCCTTCACCGGAACTATGAATCCAAGTGTGGCCTGCTGAAGTTTGCTGAATCTTCCCACTTGGGTGTGCAGTGTGATCCCTGCAAGAGGCAGCTGAAGTTATTCGCGCGTCTCACTTTCTTAACACGCGTTTCACCGCTGGCAGCCACTTACTGATCAGCCGATTTTTCATGGATCCTCTGACTCTAATGCTACCGAGCTTACGGTAAATCATTTCCGACAATCTCTTGCGCCACGAGATTTTCGTACAACTTCATACGATTTTCACGTCTTTTCTCGCGAACGGTTCATGCACTTGTGACCCTTCGTTTGTTAGGTGTTCCTTCAGGCTTGGCAGGTTGCTCTTGAGGCTTGTTATGCCGACTCTACCCCTCGTTTTCGCTCCTTTCTCTCCTGCTTTTTTGTGCTTATTTCTAGGCTTGACTCTTTCCTAGAGGTTTTAGCTGCGTAACCAGGGCTTTTAGTCAAGGGCTAAGTAGTCATTTGTTTCCGTTTTTAGGTAATTTCTAGAGCCTAAGTAATACCAACGCTGTCTACTGCTTTGTTTCTTCTTTAGAGCGAGAGCGCGCCGCTATGCGCTGGGAGAGGTCCTGGTGTGCACCTGCAGCGATCAACGTTCAATTCCTCCTGGGCCCCCTTCTGTAACTGGAACAATTTCCAGACTTTGCAGCAGTTTATAACATCGTCACCTACAGTTTGACGCGCCCAGCACCCTTGCCGTTTGCTAGCCAGTCAAGCGATCCTGCGTCACTAACAACCACTGAAACTTACGTTCCTTCACCAGAACTATGAGTCTGATTGTTTGCCTTCGCCCACGAGATTTCATTGTCATGTTCCATCATGTTCGAGTTTATTCCGCGCCATCACTAGGAGGCGCCACAACAGCCGCAAGCTGTCACTGCAAGTCCAAGCACATTGGAGGAGCAGGCGCGCCGTACTTTGACTTTGAAAAGTGATGCCACGCGCGCGTACGCGCGCACGCACGCATGGATGTGATGTGACGCGGTGTAATGTAGCGTAGGGTAATGCAATGTCATGTATTGTAACGTAACGTAACGTAATGTATGTATGTGTGTATGCGTTTGTGTCTGTCTGTCTGTATGTAGGACGTATGTATCTAGGTATGTATGTATGTATGTATGTATGTCACAGGTGTAATGTATTAATGTAATGTTATGTTCTGTTGCGCGACGTTATGGTCTGTAACGTAAAGTAAAGAAATGTAATGCAATGCAATGTAATGTAATGTAATGTAAGTATGTCCGTCTGTATGTACGCATGTATGTATGTATGTATGTACTGGGGCCCCGCTTTAAGTCGTATCAGCTGGAGGAAAGTCGTATCAAAATGCCCTTGGGGATTGGCTTATCTATGGATGTTTGTTGTTGCTCTATTCGTTCTGCGAACTGATGTAGTGCGCTGCGCCCATGCGTTGCTTGCCTGCGCGATAGATCCAACAACCTTAAATTGTGTTTTTCCCCAGGTAGCGCGAGCTACTGGGGCTCTTACTTCAAGCGTAGGAAGAGCTGCGTGTGTGCGTTTTCGAGCCTGAGTGCTGGTGCCGCTGCAGGGTGCCGCTGTTGTTCCAGTGTAGGACGAGCTGCGCGTTTGCGCGCTCGAGCGCAGGGCACGCTGGGGGAGCTTGGGCGCTGGTGCGCTGCTTGGGCTGCTGCTGGAAGAATTAAAGAACAGGATCCGGATGACCGGGCATATCCGACCCCTTGCAGGGCGCCAAGTCCTGCGCCTGCCGCGCAAAAGCCACCAGCAGATTGGCGGTTGGCGGTTGGTTGGTGGTGGTGGTGGTTGGTGGCGGTTGGCGGTTGGTGGTGGTTGGTTGGTGGTTCATGGTTGGTGGATGGTGGTGGTTTGTTGGTGGTTGGTGGTTGGCGGTGGTCGGTTGGCGGTTGGTGGTTGGCGGTTGACGGTGGTTGGTTGGTGGGGCGACGGGAGGAGGAAGAGGAGGTACAGCACAAAGACCCCACACATGTGGTGAATATTAAAACATATTAATCCTTATTAGGTCCCCTGTTTGTTAGGTCTTATGGCCCTTTGGTCCTCTGGTCCCCTGGTCCTTCGCTCGTCTCCCGTGCTCCTTCGGTTTTGCTCCAGTGGGCACCTAGACCTAGCGCCTTTTTTTCTAGTCCGCTTTTTTGTTGGTAGCCCCTTAGTGGAGAGATAGTTTCCCAGTGGGCTAGCTCGCTGTTTTTGTTTTTCTTGAAGGGTAGCGCTGTCTATACTGTTACTACTACTACTACTACTACTACTACTACTACTACTGCTTCTGCTTCTGCTTCTGCTACTGCTACTACTACTACTACTACTGCTACCACGACCACTATTACTACTATTACTACTACTATTACTACTACTACCACTACCAGCGCTATTACTATATACTACTGTTATTATTACTACTACTACTACTACTACTACTGTCCTTTCCCCATTCTGGTTTTCTTCGCTGTGAATATTTAGTCGATCCTTTTCTTTTCCTTTTGATCCCTCTTGAACAGTTTTTGACGCTGACTTTTTATATTTTGATCTCGCACCGGTCTCTCGCTTGGCTGCTGCTGCTGCTGCTGCTTCCGCGATACAATACCCAAACTTTCCGGCAATCGGCGCAAAAGATCTCGAGTAAGCGCCTTGTAAAATGGAACCTGATGTTACCCTAATGTGACCCGATCGCATCGGATCGTTCTCACAAACCTACTCAGGAAGAGCAAACTCCCCACTATGGGCCAGGTTTTGGGTAACCTTCGCGTTTGTAAAGAGTTGCTTTGGCGGCGCTGTGCCATTGGGGTTTGTGACTTCCTTCCAATGCGGTGTGCCATCGGTATGTAATGTAATGTAGTGTAATGTAATGCAATGCAATGTAGCGCAATGTAATGCAATGTAACGCAATGTAACACAATGTAATGCAATGTAACGCAATGTAACGCAATGTAATGCAATGTAATGCAGCGTAATGCAGTGTAACGCAATGTAATGCAATGCAATGTAACGCAATGCAATGTAATGTTATGTCATGTATGTATGTATTTCTCTTAAAGGTCTCTTTTCGTTTGCTCGCCTTTTGGCGGGAAACTTTGAAGACGGTTTGAAACTAAAGGGCGGGGAAGCTACCAATATCAATTTGGCCCGGTGCTTGGTCCTGCAGCAGACGATGTTGAACGATGGAAACAGAAGATTTGCTTGCTCATGAAGGCCTGGCCTGAAGTTGAAGGAAAGTTTTTGGATTTGGCGACAAGAATTCTGCTCAACACAAACGTTTCCGCTTTCCACAAACTGGAACTTCGACAGTCCGAGGTGCTCACAGGAGACAAGGCTGAGATCCAGAAACGCAGGAGATTTTGGCCGGCCAATTTGGCCAAAGTTGATTTGGAGAGGAGGTAGTGGAGAAGCCTTGTACCACCAGCACTCTCAAAAGAATGACGAGACTGCAGACAGTTTCCTGGCTAGAGCGGACGTGGCTTGGACGGAGCTGGAGATGAAGCAGGTGAAGCTCCAGGTTAACGCATACGTTGCATTACATTACCTTACATTACCTTACATAACATTACATAACGTAACACAACGTAACATACATACCATTACTCGCATACATACAAACATACAAACATACATACATACATACTAACATACTTACTTACTTGCTTGCTTATTTGCTTACTTCCTTACTTACTTCCTTACTTACTTCCTGACTTAATTACTCACTAACTTACTTACTTACCTACTTACCTACTTAGCAATATAAACGTAACGTAACATAACATAACAACACATACACAACATTGACTACATACACGCATACATACATACATACATACATACAGACAGACAGACACAGGCAGACAGGCATATTGTATTTTTGGTGAGGCCGCCAAGGTGGATAGCAAGGATGTCGGGAAGATCCAAAGAGTTTGTGGGAAACTTTGAGGAGGATTTGAAGCTAAAGGGCGGGGAAGCTACCAATATCAATTTTGATATTGATACCGGAGCCCGGTCGATTGTGGGGCAAATGTCTGGAAGCACTGAATCATCGGTCACAAATCAGCTGGCGCAGTTGGTCCGGGTGCTTGGTCCTGCAACAGACAATGTTGAACGATGGAAACGGAAGATTTGCTTGCTCGTGAAGGCCTGGCCTGAAGTTGAAGGAAAGTTTTTGGATTTGGAGAATTCTGCTCAACACAAACGTTTCCGCTTTCCACAAACTGGAACTTCGACAGTCCGAGGTGCTCACAGTCAGAAAACCCTGGAGCCAACTTGGCCAAAGTTGATTTGGAGAGAAAGTATGAGGTAGTGGAGAAGGCCTTGTACCAGCGCTCTCAAAAGAACGACGAGACTGCAGTTTCCAGGCTAGAGAGGTGAAGCTCCAGGAAGTTCAAGCACACGCGATCCTGCGAGGAAGCAAGCTGTCAGCGAAACGTGTCCTTGTCGATTCCGGAGCTGAAACAGGTGGAGTGTTGACAATGAAGAAGGTCTCGGTGGCAAACAGACTTCTGGGATCATCCTTTTTTCAGGAAGTCACCACTGGTCGAAAGGAGAAAGGTCTCAAGACCTACGATCAAACCCACTTCGCTGCTGCAAGAAGAAGCGAAGCGAGCTGGGCAATGTTCGAAGACGCTCAGGAAGAAGATGCATTGGAACAGCTGGCGCAGGAAGAACAAGATGATCCTGAGTTAGCAGCATACTATTCACCCTATCAGGACGCTTGTCGACGTCTTCAAGAGAATCGAAAGTCAAAGCAGGTCGCAACTTTTGGCAAATCAAGAGCAGCTCAAGCTCCAGAGGCAGCACGAAAAACGGTGTGAAAGGGAAATTTGGAAAAGGGGCGACGAAGGGGTTCCGCTCACTCCAAGAGCGCGTCGCTGAGACATACGTTGCAGATCCACCAATTGCACCAGTCCTCAAAGCCCAAGCTCAGGAATCTACGCCTACCCAACCTCCAATACCAACTCCGACTTCATCGACGAGCCGTCCAATCTGTTGCCATGTGGGGAGCAGAGGCTAGGTTGAGGCCCTCCTTCAATAAGAAGCAGCGTATCAAAGACTCAGCAGGCTGCGTGGCCGCAAAATCTCTGCAATGGCCTGGATTGGGCAGTCTGGGCCAGAGGATGGATCAACAAGGAGCAACATCTTGCAGTTCTTCCTTTATCGTTGTGCAGCTGGTCTTGGTCTGGAACGCTTGGAACGCAAGCAAGCCTTCTCTGGGCTTCATGGATTTGGCTGCAGACCTCACCGATGATGACAAGAAACAGCCCCAAGACCATTGAACCCCCGATCAACCTGCAGCTGAGCCACCTCCGTTGCAGATGGGGAGAGAGCTACTGAGCCGAGCTCTATGACCAAGAAAAAGATCAATGGCAGGCCGTTGACGACGATCACCAGCAGATTTTCGCGCAGGCCATTGAAAGAATAGCGCTCCAATCAGGTCTACAACGAGGTCATCAGCAGCCCACGCCTGGATCAGCCCTATGAGGGACCGCCGGCAGGACATGCGACACATTGTCTGTGGGCGCCAACATCTCCTGCAAGTATTGCGGCCTGGCTGTGACCACCGACAAGCAGGCAGAGCCGCCCCGTGGAAACACAGAGCCTCAAAAAGGAGCGCGCTGGAGCTCCAATCAAAGCAAGCGCTGCGCTTCGGAGCTACTTCTCGCCTCCACCGGCTACCAGTACAGCTCCAGCCGCTGCTGAGGCTGAAGATCCCGCGCTGAGACCCGCCCAGCTGTTTCTTGAGGAACCTCGCGCGCGCAGAAGCTGACGCTGAAGGCATGACAGCCTCAGAGACGGAGGACACGGCGGTGGACTTCTTCTAGTCTGGGCTGTAGTGAAATCGTGCCGCAGCGCACCAGGCCAAAACTCTTTAATTGGTTCTTCCCGAGACCCTTGCTATTCACCGTGGCGGCCTCACTCAAAATACAATGTATGTACGTATGTATGTATGTATGTGAGTATGTGAGTAATGTTAAGTTATGTTTGTTATGTTATGTTGTGTTATGTAAGGTAAGGTAAGGTAAAGTAATGTCCTGCAACGTATGTATCAATGTATGTATCTATCATCTATCTAACTCGCTATCTGCGAATGAATGAAAGAATGAATGAATGAATCAATGAATGAATGAATGAATGAACGAATGAATGAATGAATGAATGAACGAATGAATGAATGAACGAATGAATGAACGAACGAATGAATGAATGAAGGAATGAATGAATGCTTGTACGTTCGTCTGTATGTATGTATGTATTGAACAAATCTAGACACCATCTGGAGGGTGAGATGACAATCAGCAAAGAAGCGGCTTATCACTGACATCGCAATGAGCATGGAGACCGCTGTTTCAATGCGCGAGCTTCACCTCACGCGCAGGTATCGAGCCTCCCAAGCTTTCAGGATGCATACAAGCTAGGCGTCAAATGTGTGATGAGACCACAAAACATAGCATCGGAACGCGAAGAAACGAAAAAAGAAACTCACACATGGCCAAGATGTAACGGGGCACTTGACAGGCGAGTTCCTGGGCTCTGGCAGCATGTCAGTTGTGCGAAGGCGCAGCCACATGAGATTGAATCAGGTCTCCCAATGTGTTTGTTGCTCTTGTCACTTTTTGGCGCCACGGTTGGTGATAGGTGCGTACGAAAGTTGGATGGGCAGATTTTCGCAGTCTGCCCCCCACGACATAAATTTGTTGCTTTGTAGTTTGCAGCTTGGGGCGAACATGATTCGGGCTGACCGAGGTGAAATGTGTGACTGCAATCGATGAAGAAGTAAGACAATTTAGCCGGGACGAGTGGCTTGGTTGAAAGCTGAAAGACAATATGTACAGTAATACTGTACATAAGAAACACAGGAGGATATACGTTGCTGTGCAAATGTGATTGTATCATGTCGTGTCTATTCTACAAAAAACTACATCCTTCGACTAATTACATATTCCACACTTTGACACGCCCTGCCGCTACGCGCGCATCACTTCTGTTAGAGCTTTTGCACACCTCACGAGACCTCATGACACGAGACTTCATGAGCACAGTTGAGACTGAACATGGCCGTTGATAGTGGCCCAAGCGTTTGTGGAAAAAGACCACTTGCGCGCTAAAGCTGACATGGTAGCGGAGCTGATCAATGCACCACCTCCGCCGCACCGCGCGACGCCATGTCGACGATAACGCTGGCTACGACTTTTCTACACACGATAGCGGCTGCGAGCGTCGTCATGGACGACTAGGAGATCCAGGATGAGCTCTTCTACAAGGACACGGTGGACATGGTGACCGCGAAGGACTTTGGTGGGGATTGGAACCTCACCAGCATGGACCTCAAGGAGGTGACAGACGGAAAGGAGGTTGAGCAGTGGATTGGCGCCGCTTTGAAAATTTGGCACAGCGGATCCCGCTCATCATGACCAAAGGTCATTGCGATGGACCTGACATGGACTTAGCTTCGAACCTCTCAGGAGTCGGGGATTGGCTCCCGGACTCAAGTGGTGGTCGATGTGAACATCGACAAGTCAGAGATCGGCGCTCGCACTTCACGACTTCAGATGCAGCGATGGCCGTGGGCTTTCGAAGCTACTACATCGATTTCTTTCAGGACTACGACCTGCACCAGGTTTTGGACAGGCTGGATGAGACGATTGGTTTGAGAGCTCTATGCTTCTTGGCCTTCCTGGTTGGATGCGGAGCTGAATGGACAATGAGCCGAATGCGCAGGCGAAGACCACTTCGCGAGAGAAGAGCTATGGCGAAGGGCCACTTGGGCTACTACCAGAAGAGAAGATGGAATGGTGGGCTACGTGGACGCTTTGAGCACAAGTTGCAGCTGCGCGGCTTGATTTTCATGACCTTGTGGCGCAACACCTATGCCATGGACCAGGAGCAGATGAACTGAATCCTCTCTCAAGCAAACACTTTGGCAGACGCAGCAACTACGGCAGCCAGAGCTCAAGATCCTGCGAGATGTCGAAGACCCCATGAAATATGTGGCTTGGAAGGAAATTTAAAGCTTCGCGAACTGGTTGACCTTCCGGTCTGGCAAGAGCACGCTTGAGAATTTTGCTTCAGCTGCATCTTCTTTTGGACCGATATCAGCTAGCTTCAGGACATGCTATGCCTGAATTCGCTGTGTGGCGCCCAAAGTGCGGCAGCATTTGGAGCTGACTTGGACGACAAGATGCACTACTACACGTTGAAGGAACAGTTGATCCTGATGGACAAGACTAGTAGGCTTGGTCCGGAGATTCCTGCTTGAAGATGGCGCAGAACTCTATGAGCTGAAGTTCCAATTGACCTGCACCTATGGAAGTTGATCAAGTTGGCCAAGTCTCCAAAGGCAAGCAAGGGCAAAGGCGGCAAGAAAGGCAGCAAAGGCAAGAAAGGTGGATGTTTCCCTTTTGGCAACAACGGCGACAAGTATGGTGGCAAGAACTCCAAAGGCAAAGGCAAGCAGGGCAAAGGCAAGAAAGGAAAGAGCAAGTATGGTGGCCGAGGCAAAGGCAAAGGCGGCAACGTCAACAATACCTGTCGCGTTTGTGGACAGCAAGGACATTGGGGAGAACTTCGACGACTTCATCCAGGACAAGACCAACAAATGGTCTGCCATAGGCCAGCTCAGAAGTTGTCATGCGTGTAGCCCTGTGGCTGCTGAAGCGATTGATCGCCCAAGTTGCATGCGCATAGGCCGAGCTCCACAAAGCGCGATCTCCCATCGATCTTCTGCCATCTTCGCCAAAGCCGAAGCTTGCCTCCTTAAAGTCTGGATTGATTGCCCTTTCCACACAGCCGTTTGACCTTTCTATTGACTGAAGGTGAGCTGTTTCCAGTCCAAGGCCTTGCCGAAGGGTCTTGATCAAGGTCAACAAGCTCTTCATCGTCGCATCGCCGTCGCAAACAATCTCAAGCTTGCCATATATAGTGGGTCATGGCCAGGGAGAATTTTGTTACCTGCTCAGCTTGTCCTCGAAGATCTGCTCCCTTGCTCTCGAGAGAGGCATTGCCATGAGCATCCTGCTCTCACAATCCACTCCAAAAAGCACCACTGTCAAAACTGTTTGACTCGAGGTTTTGCCTTCAGATCGACCAGAACCATATTCAAGCTGGGGCGTTGGGCACCAGCACGGCTCTTGCGTGAGACACGCGTCACACCAGAGTTGGTAGGGTATACCGTAGGTGAACCATGCATTTCTCGCTCCTGTGGAGTCAGTCGGCCGCCGTGGAATGGAAACCTGGATCAGGCCCTTGTGCTTGTTCTGCTCCCTATACAATCTGTTTGCTGAAGCGAAGAGTTGTTGGTGTTCAAGCTGGTTGAGTTTGTGCCACAATGTCTTAGTTGAACCGCCGGCTCCAAGGCCTAAGTATTCTGCAGCACTTCTGAGAGTTGCCAAGCTGCTGTTCTCTCATGTCGTTCACCGCCAAATTGGCTCTATTATCACACCCCGGAATTCCTCTTCTGTCAATTGGTTCTGAGGTTGAAGTCCAGCAGGAACTTGGGGTTCTGACTCGATAAGACAGTCACTGCTCTCCACACTGGCGCCTCCTCCTGTTGCAGTGCGTTCGCCAACAATGGTCCCAAAGCATTGCACTGGTTCACATTTGCGATGCAAAATGGTCAACACCTGAGTTTCCCCGCCAGCGCATTCAGGGGTTTCTGCTTCTGGATTTGGAAGGGTGTAGTAACGGCTGCAGTGCTCCACAAGCTCCCAATCTCCATCGTGTCGTTGAATGAGGGTTGATCTCAAAGGCCGCCAACGCAAGTTCCACGTCAACTGGGCATTCTAAAGTTCTTGCTGTGATACTTGAACTTGATGGGATGTCCCTCGGCCATTGTTCTCAAGCCATAGAATTCCCAGAGGGAGTCGTTGAGCTTCACCACAGTCATCACCACTAATCATTGTCATCTGCTGGGGTCATGGTCACGTCGACCTCTCCTTTCACCTCTTCAAGTCCTTGGCTCAGGCTGTTCTTCTTGAAGTAGAGCGGCTCACCAATGGTGCATGAACAGAGGCAACTATGAAATCATCTTCGATGATGACAGATCCAGCCATGCCCAAGTCGCATTCCACCTGGGCCAATTTTCGACCAGATGTCTTCGCCTGAGCTCCTCGAGCATCTTCTAAGAAGATTGCCTTGCCGCCAACTTGACATTGTCCTCGACTTGCCATCTCCTTCGCAAGAATTCGGAGTCCAAGACAATCAGCGTCTTCTCCTGGGACATCTTCACCACATGGAAAGTTTGGTTTCTCCTGCTCGTTCTCCATGACATAGCGCCTCACCTGCAAATTGCAGTACGCTATGGCGCAGTGGTGTGCTTTGGCGAGTGTGTGTGATGGTCTTGAATAGGCCGCCTGGCTTGAAACAAGGACTTCAATGGATCCCAGGCATTTGGGTTGGGAAGACCGAAGAAGACGACCTTCACACGGCGGCGGCTTCCTCAGTTTTGGTTCGCGGTAAAGCTGTGAGACGCACAGGACAACCATGGAGATCAGTGTGCTTGTCAAGTATGGTGAAGGAGAAGCCTTACAGAAACCCAAACACCAGACGACCTCTTCGACTCCTACTACCAAGTGATTCCACGAGGACCTGGTCGAGGACCTGGACCAGTTCGTGGAGACTTTGGAGTACGCGCGAGATCATCCTGGTGGGACCCCTACAGACACTTTTGAGAGAGAAAGGCTCCAGAGGGACAAAGATGAGCCTGCAACCAAATTCCTTCCAGTACCTCCTCTACCTATGGGCATGGGCGATGAGGACACACATGGAAACAAAGCTCCAATGACTCCAGAGCTGAGAAATCCTTCGATTTCGAGCAGACCACAGAAAATGCTGGACGACAGTGCACAGAGTGATGCCGCCCCAAAAAGATCCCAAGCGACAGCGCGCAGAGTGAACCAGTCGCAAAGATCCCAAGAGTGACAAGTCCTGAGGGTAGTCCAACTCATTTGCACGCCCCGCACTACGCAGGAAATGTGAACCAGGCTCCAGGAGACGTCTATCCTGTCAATGAAGAACACTGGGGGACTGAGGTGGAAGAGTTCATGACAGACGAGCCCAAGATGGCTTGGACAATGGTGGGGCCCGATGCAACAGATGAAGGGCAACCTCCACAAGTGGATCCAGAGACGATGAAAGAGATTGAAGCCGCTGCAGGACAAGAAGAGATCAGCAGACTCCTGGACATGGGAGCGATCAGGAAGCCAACCCAGCAGGAAGCTGAGCAAGGCCAGATCCTGACAACGAGATCTGTCTGCGACTGGCGGGTCAGAGATGGCAAATGGAAGAGGAGGTGTTGGCTTGCGGCGTGCGAATTCGAATTCAATCGTCTTCCTTGATGGCAACCGGGCTGGCGCTAGGGACCCATGTACTTCTTGGATGGCATCTATGTTTCCTGGACGTAAAGGATGCGTCTCTGCGTGAAGTACTGTCTGTAATGAAGCAGATCTTCAGCTCTCGCTTGCTAAGGAACTGTTAGACGTCTTTGCGCAGGATGCCGTCGCTTCTTCTCACTGGACGTCACCACCCCAGTTGCTGTCTGCGAAGCTCTCCAAGAGGTCACAGTCCATCTCTTCGTCCTGCTGGCCGAGAATCTCTGCCTTCTTGCTCTTATTCTTCTGATAGGGTAGCAGCAGGCCATAGTTCTCAGTCCTCTTCAGATAAGAAATCACGCGCGTGAGCTCAATCTCTGCCTTCTTCGTTGGCAGTGCCATGAACTGGAACAAATTGCGCACACAGTGCTGAATGTCAATCCTGCCCTGGGAAAGGCATAGGAGTGTGCCCGAAGCTGATCGAAATCGACGTTGGTCTGCAGCTTCAAGCTTGTCTTCTGGGCCACCTTCCAAGTCGACTTGTGCGCTCTCTGGTGTTGCTTTGCCAGCCTTGTTGGCAAGGTGGTACAGCTCAAGAAGTCCTGGAACATATCGTTCATGTGGCATGATCGCCAATCCGTCCTTCGCGAAAAAGTGTTTGTCCTGCTTGAGGAAGAATACCTGACTCACTCAAGACAAATCTCTTCTTCATCACTTCTAGCAACCATTCCAAATCTGCCAACTGTCCAGCCACAATCAAGTCGACGTGACATACTGCACCAAGCATCACCAAGCTTTTTAGTCTTGCGCGGGAGTGAAGGTAGGCTCATATGGTTCTGGATGCCAATATCTCGAAGGCGATGGCTCAAGAAATCAAACCAGCAAGCTGCTGCGTCACGTTGTCCTGGTAGGCGCTTTGCTAATGTCCAATATCGACGTTGTCCAGGAAAATCTGCAGCCTTTTCTTCTTCTCGCCACCACTCAGGCTGCTCCACAACCACCAAGCGAAGTTGGTCTACTAGGAGAGCTATCTTTGGACGCAGCTTGAAGTGAAGAAGGACGTTCTGACAATGGATGGCGTTCCAGCTCTTTGGAACGCGTCAGGCTTTGGGCACAAAGAAGCTCACAAGGCAACGCCGGAGTTCCTCGTGTACCTGATTGGTGTGGTGGAACTACAGGCAGAAGGGAGTGATGACACTTTCACTCCTTTGGGCGAAGATGCTTTCAATGAGGTGATGACCAAGAAGTTGATGGCAAGAAGGAAGAAGACCGTGAAGAACGAGATGGTCAACAGCCTGATGGATGAGCAGAACACAATGAGCACAAGGTGAAGATTCCAACCAATATACGAGCAGTTCTTGGAGTACGAGATGGAAACTACACCATGGAGGATGAGAAGCAGCTTGGTTTCGGTGACTACCTTTGGTATCTTCAGCGGTTCTTCCTCTATAACATGGTTGCGTTCCTCTTTGGCATGTACATTGGCTACAGGTACCGCATCAGGTTGTGCATTTTGGTTCGCACTGCTACGCGCTTTTTCCGGCAAGAGATCACCATGGAATTCCATAGACAGCAGAGTGAACATATGTTCAGAGAAGGCATTCTTCAGGAAGCTCGAGAACAAGAAGTTCGTGACCGACGTAGTGGACGAGATCTACTGCTTCGAGCTCAGATGTGGTCAGCTCCAGGTGGGGAATGGCGATATGAAGGACGCGCTCTCTTCCCTGACCAACCTCTCAGACCTGCAGTACCAGATCGACAATTGGAACCGCAACTTCAAAATGAAGGAGAAAATGCCCGACGTGAAAACATGGCAAACGATGCCGACTATGAATGGATTGGTGACTGGACGACAGATTGGGAGCCAGAGCTACAACGGATGAGAGAATATAGAGTTTTAGTTGGGTCAGGGGATGCAGAGAGTGGAGAAGAGTATTTCACTGGGAAGTTCTCAAGCTGGCTTCTACAGGAGATAAGCCTGCGAGGTCAGAGCCAGAAGCTGGAAGTGAAGAACATAGAGACCAATGAGAGCTAGGAGATGGAAGTGGACAATGAACCTCCACAAGATCAAGCTGGGGGAGTTTGGGCCGACCGCAACAAAAATAACCACCAGCCGATGCAGGTTGGGATGACTTGGAGACGATCTTCAAGCACCTGCCACCTGATGAAGAGAGACGTCGACGCAAAGTCAATGAAGCTGGCATTTGTCCAGCTGGCTTACCTCAAAGAGTTCCTACAAGCCCGGATTGCACAGCTTCATGGTGGACGAGACACAAGAGCAGCTCATGCGCTGCATTGGGGAGCAAGTGAGCAGAAAGATTTCGCGAACTTCGCGACTATGGTGCTTTCAGGCCAATGGGAGCTGAATTGGGGCGAAAATGTCCTTTTGACGAAGGTGTGGTGTTAGAGCTTTTGCACACCTCACGAGACCTCATGACACGAGACTTCATGAGCACAGGTGAGACTGAACATGGCCGCTGATAGTGGCCCAAGCGTTTGTGGAAAAAGACCACTTGCAACTTCCCTTCAGCATAATCAGAATCACCAGCACAAACTCCAATGGCTGTTTCTTCTGACCCCCATGGACTTGGAATCCCACGCCAGTCAGTAGCATAGCAGCCGTGCAACATTGCCTTAACCGTGCTCAGCATAGTTGTCGGCTGATGTTGGCAAATAGTCATGTGAGCTCTTCCGCTACTGCACATTGCGTGTTGGTTGCTGACAACGAACCAAGACTTCACCTGAAGTGTATCTCGTGCAGCACAGGAATAGTTCCGAACTTTGTATTGCACAAGTGTAGTTGTAATCGTTTTTGTGTTTGAAACCAAATAAGGCCCGAAGGGGTTCCAATCTCTCGGCCAAAACAGGTCGGTCAGTGTTATAAGTATTGCCAGAGACCTCATGGACACCAACAGGGCACAGACTGAAACCAAGTTCAACACCAACATACAGCAGGATTCAAATGTGGGAAATTGAATTTGGTGAAATGCAGTTCTGAAATCGAAGGTATGAGCTTGTCCGGACTTTGCGGCGATGCGCCCGGAAAGTTACACGTTGAATGAAAAAAATGCCGTTTGCGCAATGAAATGAATGAAACATAATGCATCCAGTTTGTGTGTCCAGATGCATGCAGCTCTGAGAAGTTGTGAGTTCTTGATACAAGGCATCCAGCAATCATTACCTTCAGAGCCTGGTTTGAAGGCACAGAACCATTGAAATGCTGAACACGTGCTGAGAATGCTTCAAAAAATTGAGACGAGATTGAAGAGTCTAGTTAAAAGATTTATTGATTCATTTTCAGTTGCAACATATGTGTCGTGCAAGATCTCAATGAGTATGCCTCGAAGTTTTAATGTTGCGAGGTCCCGTATCCGCCTGGATTGTTATGGACCTTTGCAGCGGCGGTTCAGTGGAATCCTTTGTGCGACGTGAGGCATTGAAACCGTGCAGACAATTTTCAAACCAGATTTATATGGTGCAGTAGTGAAGCATTTATGTTATATATATATATATATAGATACATGTCTCAGTGCTGATCGCCAGGGTGCACTTCGAGAGCCGCAAGAAACAGCCTCGGATTAGCCTTAAGAAGAATGTGGCATGTGAGGATTAGATGTTATGGTTTATACAATGTCAAGAAAGAGGGCCAGCCATGAAAAAGCAAAGGCGCAGATAACATTAATCTCTGCGAGGTTTGTGATTTGTGGCTTGTCGTGTTTGCAAGAATGGCAACAGTTTTAGGTGCAAGACCTTGGCTTTCAACTTATTCGTGGGATCGATTATTTGCACCACAAGAGAGCAGCCAGCTCAGGGCAAAACGGCCAAACGGTTGTGTCATAGTGTTTGCTGCGTGACTCTTAGTGACTACAGCACAAAGAACAAGGCTAAGGGCGCTTTAGAGCAACCAAGTGCTGCATGCTGCCTTTGTGCACCATATGCTGTTTGTGACCGCAGGTCGTGCACCGCGACTTGAAGCCTGCGAATTTGCTTTTGAATCGGTGCGAAAGCGGCGCGCAAAGCGGCGCAAAGATGCGTAATGATTCGTTGTTCTGTCGGGACGCAACGGTTTTTTGGGTTTTTTTTTGCGCATAATCAGATTCCAAGAGCCAAGAGCGGGGATATGTTTTAGTATTTATTCGATGTTCTGAAACAAGAAGATTCTTGAGTTTCGGGAGTAGATTCGGATAATTAGTTGTGTGCTCGGCGCAAAGTTGGTTCGGGTTCCTTGGGTCTTGCCTTAGAGCCTCTCTTTGTATCTCGTTTTGACAACAAAGTGATCTAATGATCCATGCATTTGCCAGATTTGCACAGGCGTTATGCAAATGACAATAGACTTCGTTTGTGTGTTGACTCGCTTCTCAGGCAGGTTTCTTCCACGGCGCCATCTCCAGCTCATAGGCCATTGGAAGGCGCGAAAATTCTTCAACGATGGCTCTGCTGCAGTGGCGCCTTGGCATGGCCCTCCATTGTCCTCTTCTTGCGAGGAGAACTGCTGTGGCCCTGGCAGCTGAAGATCACAGACTTCAACAGTGCCAAAAGAGTGGGAGCCTGCAATGGCAAGATTCTTAGTGACTAAGTGTAAGCAGATATGTCAAGTGTGTTCTACATAGCGACCCTTTCACATCCATTCAAAGCTGCCCTGGGAGTCCTTTGAGGATTGCTTCTCACCGACCGTGGCACGTGTGGCCTTTAGGATTGCAGTCCGAGCATCCTGCGCATTGTGCCCTTTTGAATGCTCATCTACTGCAATCTACACGGCATCTAATAGAATCCACTCAGGCAGCTCTACAATGCACCGGAACTCAGGCAGGATCCTTGCCAAACCCTCTTCAAGATACACAGTTCAAGTTCTACTCATGTCTACTCCGCTTTTCCATGTGACAATCATGTTTGAATTTGCCCCCTAAGGTTCGGCCGACTTTGGAATGAACGCATTGACATTTGGGCCAGTGGGCTTGAGGCTTACCTTTGATGTGGATGGCCCTTTGTGGACGTAGCCTTGTCGTAGGTAAGAAGAAGCGGAGTTGAAGCACAGTGATCCTCTCTATGCCCCCACTCTATTGTAATTTGTTATTATTTTCTCCCCACGTAGCAAAGGTTATGCCTCTACTTCATGCTCCGAAAGACTGTGCCCTTTAACATTGGTGATCAGAAGGCGGAGAAGAGTCCATGCCGTCGAAGGGAAGAGAAGAGAATCTTCGCAATCTGCACACATATCTACATGCCGGTCGATTTGACCAAGATGTTTGTCGAATGATTTGTACCAACTTGTGGCACGCTATTTCTCACTTCTGGTGAGGTCGCTGATACACTGCTCTCAGGCATCGGTTCTGACGCTGTATATGGTCGTCATATACATTACCATGAAGAGTTAGTTTGACAAAAACCTTTTGAAGTGTAAGTGCCGTCGATGAGTGAAGGCAAGCTTCCTCACATTGACTGGAGCATGATGTCTCCACTGGCTGGCAACTTGATAAGGCAAAAGAACCGGACCACAATTCATGTGTGTGTGTGATTTTTTGTTTGAAGGCAGTGCCTTTTCGTGGATCCATGTGACCGGCCAACGGCTATGGAGCTGTTTGAGCCTTTGGTGACACTGAAGAACTGATGTGGTGAAGAAGGTCAATGTAAGCACTGCTAATGCAAGGAGTTCAAAAGACACATATTGGATGCAGTCCAGGCGATTGCACCTTTTCTTTGCGTCCAAGCGGATGCCGGAATCGAGGCGCCAAAGCTATGAAGAAGTTGTTTATCGATTGTTTTCTGATTGCACTCGGTCATTGCGTTCGCATATAATAAGCACACGGTGCAGATGTTTGCAGGGAGGCACGCTTTATTCATTTGTATTCCTAAAAAATCTGAAGACACAAAAAGCGTTTGACAAACTTGGAGGTTAGTAATCGCAGCAAAGAGTGGGTAAGGGTGGTGTGGGGTTCTGGTATGTTTGGATCGATTGGGTTGCTTTCTTGAGTAAAGTGTTTGTGGGAATGTCTTTGTGGCCGCAGGAAGGGGAGCATAGAACAGTTCGAGGCATTTGGACATGCGGCTTTGGAGGATCAATGAAGGAACATGGTTGCTAACATGTGCAAATATGTATCTTTGTTTGCTAGTCTCTTTGTTTCTCGATTTAATGAGTATTCGCATGCTTGGAAGTCACTTGAAACATGTTCGACAGCTGTGGTGTGTGCGTGTGTGTCACTGGTACCTTATCAGTACTTGACAGTATTTGCCAGCGATTTGAAATGTGATTTTTGGATTTGTTGTATTATTTATTCTATACTTAGTATAAGCTATAACTATGATTGTTTTGTTCGCGGAGGATGAGAAGATTACTGTGCACAGTGTGAGGTATTGTAGTGTCTTTAGTTATTCCTCTCTAGTTCAGTTTGGTCTCAGGTTGCAGACCGCAGAGAATCCAAGGAGCGGAGGGCACAGCACCTTTGCAATTGGCAGCAAAAGCTGCTGTGCCCTTACCATTCCCTATTCCATATTGAATTCGCCTGATAGTCTACCTACAGACCGTATCTCCACATATCTCCACTCTTCAAGCTTGTCTAGCTTTCCTCACAGTGTCTCACTGAGCTCGATTTCATTGCACGTTGTTTGCAAACGTGATACCGTGATGCGTTGTCTTCTTGTTTTACTCAACTCATCACAGGAGTCTTTGGGCACCAGCACCTCAAGTTTCACGGCCAGTCGCCGGATGTCCCTGGAGAGCATTCCGGTGGAAGCATGGCAGAATTGGGAAAACCGAGAATCCAGAAGAGCCACGGAAGAACGTCTGACGAAATCATGTTCCTTTGCTGTCAAGGAGCGTTCGGTAATGGTCTCGCGATGCTTGGCATGTTTTGGCAATCGGGCTTGTACCGAATTCCTCTCCGAAAGGGTTGTGTCAACGAGCATTATTTGTCAGGTCTTGTGGGCTTATCTTTGTGGGAGCTGCACGAGCAGGCTTGACAAGTTGGAGAAGTCGAGAATCAAAATGAAATGATCGTGGAATCGATTGGAGTCGGCATGAATCAATGAAGTATGCAAGTAGAGGAAGATGAAATGTGCTCAAGCATAGCCATGTAAAAGTTGTCCTGAGCTATCCTCAATTAGGCAAGCAAGCATTTTGCCAACTAAGCAATTAGACTGTCAAAGCCATTCACTTCTACCCCTTGAACTCTTGGTCCTTTTTCAAACCTCAGCCCATAGGCGAGGTCCGCAACCGGGGCTCCGTCTGGCTGGAGGTTGAGGCATTTTGCTGCGCAAGAAGCTGCATAAACACTTCCCATTCTGTGACTTGCCTCACGAGCGGTGGAAATCCTACTCAAAGAGTTTTGGTCGATACATGTCGATACCATAATCCTGGCCAGGAGCAACTTCAACGAACCCGAGGCCTGTCGGCATTTGTCGCACTTCCGAGTAGTTGAATGCATCCCACCACAATGGTTGTGTTATATAACTGCTTGTCTTCATGGTTGCTTGACTCTTGGCTTCAGCCCCTTTCATGGACGGGTTTTGGAACATGTTCTTGGCAACATTTGTGCTTTCTGGCTCCTTAGAGGTGGCAGCAAAGGCATTGCAAGTCGTGCGCAGCGCACTAAGCAGCTAGACCTCTCAGGACCACTCAGACTCAAAGTTTGGTACCGAAGAAGGTTGTATCTCATTGTATGGGTGTCCGATGGAGAGGGGGAGAGAGAGAGAGAGAGGCCACAAAGCGTGCGAGTAAGGCCATTCCTGGGCGTGCGAAGCTTTCCTGTTTGCCCATCTCAGCATTGCCCATCGCCTTACAGCTGCTTGGTTGAAGTGGTTTGAGCACGGAGAATGGCAGAGGGGTTCCAGCAGGGCAAAAAGAGGAGGGAGGGGAAGAGAGAGAGAGAGAGAGAAAAAAAAAGAAAGAGAACAGTTTGTGGAGTATTGTGAAGAGCTTCCGCGGAGGGGTGCGAAAGTATCCTTTGTAGCTCTTTGCATGCAGATGACGTCCCCTAATCCATTGACCTCAAATCATTCCACAACTGCGCAGACACATGGCATCCTTCTCCCGGGCTTCATCCGCGGTCTGCCTGGACATTCGAGGCTCTCAGCTGGCAGCGCAGCGCCAATGCGATGGCATCAAGCTCAGCACAGTTTCAGACTGTGAACTCTCAACCTTCGAAGGCAGTGGAAAGCAGTGAAGTGGCTCCTACTGTAGGTAGTAAACATGACTTCCGAAGCCCACCTCCAAGTAGACGTGCGAGGCAGAAAATCCTCGCGAGTGCGAAGCCACAGCCGCACCCTCAGTCCAACAAGTGCCTTTTTTGCTGTTGCTGGCCTCACTGCCCTCGAATATAACTTGCTGGGAAAGCTACCATGGCTACAACTTAGAAGCCCTTCTTGCATGACTCGTGGATGTCGGGATAATCTGAACTTGATGCGGTCACACCGAGGCATGTACCTAAGTACACCAAAGGCATGCGACGCAGTACCAAGGCGGTACGGTTGTGTTTCTGTTTGTCGGTCAAGGGCCACAGAAAGCTGCCATTTACAAATCATCGATGATAGGTCGCCGCAGCAAGCAGCAAAGAGTCACAGCCAGCAGAGCCCCCAGTGAAGCACAAAGCAGTCAAAACTTTCCATTTGGATCATTTACAAAGAAAGCTTCGTGTACAATTTGCATTTGCTTAAGGTGCTGGAAGGAGCCTAGAAGCTTCGATGTCTTGCTGCGCATGGCTAATGAAAAGTTTCGGCAGATGAACGAATTGCTGGATGAGGACACGATTGCAGCTGCATCCAACTGCACTTTTGACGCAGTTTTTGAGCAACAGGATGTTGCAGGCTGTTGATTCATTCTGTGAGGATGTACAGCCTCGGGTGCTACGCTAAGCCGCACCATGTGTTTGATAGAATATTTATATGAGGATTCAGATATTGAAGTCCATCAAGCCTGTGCAGTAGTTTTTGCCACAAGATTTTACAGCCTACGGGGTCAATGTGTTCTATGTACTATGCTTCTCCTGTGCAGCTATCACCTGTGTTTTTCTACTGAAGTTGCTGTTTTGACGTTTCTTTACTTGTGGGGATGTGTCACTTTACTCCCAAGCTTGGTTCTTTGCTAACTACTTGCAGTATCTTGCAGTGCCTATTCACCGAGCCTATGTGGTACGCTGGGTGTGGTTACGGGCCCCGATGATAAGACCTAGGCGTCAAGACAAAAGGATTCTGCTTCCCGATTCCAGGTGCACATTTTGGACTTTTGTTGTGCCCCACTAGAGTCACTAGAAACTTCAACAAAAAACATTTGTGGGTAAACCAAGTGCGCAATCACATGGCAGACTCAAACCAGTCGCTCCGATCACAAGCACCCTGGAAAATTTTGGCCGCACCTTGTTAGGGTTTTGGAAAACTCTCCAACAAAGGCTTGCACTATCTTGTATTGCGTGTATGTATATATATAATATATACAGCACTACTCTGCCAGAAGGGAGAATAAGCACAAGCGAAGCTGTGAGCTGTTGCTGTTGGAAGTCCCATGATCAGATTGTGTAAGGCTCTTCGGGCAGAGCATTCTGCAGAGTCCATGATGGACCGTGGGAAGGGAAAGGAAGATTAGGAACATGGGGCGGTAGGCCCTTGCACCTAGAGTCACTCAGAGCATGCAATGCCCTGTGTTAATCCAAGCAGATGTTCCTGACCCCTCGTGACTCGTGCTTCGGGTACAGCTCTACAAGTTGGAAATTGAATTCGGTTGTAGGGTTGCTGCATTTATCTACAGCAAATGCAGTCATGATTCTTTTGGTTAAGTCGTGTTTGTCTTCAAGAGGCAAGGTTTAGCGTGTCCTTGTCTTTGAACTGAAGCAAAGTTCTTTCTTCCGGATACTCGTAATTAAAACCATGTTTGGCTGCCATCAGCAATTATAACGGCGATGCAGGATAGTGGTAGTGCATAACCTTGAGAAAGACCAACAAGATCTGCGGAGCTTCTATGAACTTCTAGTAAAGTCATGTTCTAAGAACCGTAGCTCTTCAGTCTGCCACTGGCACCCCTGCCAGATGGCAACGTTTCCGTTTCAAACGGTTGACTTTTGCCGCTTACGCACTGATACTTGCAATGGTTTCCGTAACCCGGCCTTCAGACCCACCGCTGTTCGCGCTGTTGTTTGCTTTTTGCATGCAGCATGGTGGGACCACATTTGTCGCAAAACACAAAAACACACTGCAAGCTACAGCGCTTCTGGAACGCGACACAGCCCAAAAATGCGCCAACAGCACGGCACGATTTCAGGCACGCCCCAAAAGGTTCGCCACTGGTCACCACTTTGCCCAAGCACAATAAGTTGCTTTCTTCCGGGCTCAAGGATTTCCAGCGAAATGGTATACCTGGGTCAATGGCGACGCAGTACTCCCTTTGGTAGACAGCTGCCTGGCGGTGGAGGGAATACAAAGAGAATGAAAAGGTGCTCTATAATATACATATATATATATAAGTACAATGCTTGTGATTTGCAGAGTGTGACATGTCCCCTGAAGCCTGTTCAGCACGTCGTTCGAACCGCCATCACCTTTGGCTACAAGTCAGGGGGGCTTAGGTTGCATCCGGCGGTGCATGGTTGGGCGAGGACGCCCCACTTCGATCAGGAGATCGTGCTTGGACCTGAGGCCAGGTGGAAAAGAAGCGCCAGGGCGCGCAGCTTTGTTGTGGAGGCCTGAGAAGGCCAGTGGCTACCAGTGTGTGATTGGGAAACCCCCGATCCACATTGGTAGCGGAGCTACCAGCGATCACTGAGTTGACCATAGCTTTTGTACCTGCCAGCTGCTCAGTGGAAATCGCAGATCCAGGATGCCTGAAGGAGATGGAGCACCATCCTCGAGTGGACAACTGTCCTCTTCTTCCCTGTCACACCTACCATGGCAGATGATCCCAGTTTTTCGCCCAGGTGAAACGGATATCAATGATTACACGAAGCGACTGGAGTTCATAGCTGATTTGTGGCCGAGCGACCACCTATCCCACTTGGCTCCAAGAGCCGCCATGCTGTGTGAAGGAAGTGCTTTCAAGCGCCTGACGCGCTTGGATGCCAAGGAGCTCAAGGTGAATTCACTGGAGGGCATCAAGCTCCTAGTGTCCACATTGGGTGGAGTATGGGGCAAGGCAAAGCATGAGGAAAAGTTTGAGCGCTTTGAACGGGCCATCTACACGACGGTCCAAAGAAGCGATGAAACTCATGAGTCCTATTTGGCTCGCCATGACTTTCAGTTCGAAGAGTTGGCCAACCTCCATGTGACCCTGGAGGAAATGAGAGCCTACTGCCTCCTGAGGAATTCAGGTCTTCTGATGGAGGAAAAGAAGAAAGTCATCATGGACTCGGAAGGCCGCCTCGAATACGACAAGGTCGTGAGTTCGCTCAAGCTCCTCGGTTCCAAGCTCTTTAGTGAGCTGCAAAATGCCAAGACTTCGACCCGCACCAAGACCTATGAGACGGTCAACACGGTCGATGAAGATGATCATACAACAGCACCTCATGAGGATGAAGCGTTCAACCATGAAGCCTGGGACGATTGGAACTCTGAGGCCACTTTCCTGGCCCAGGATGAGAACGATCAGGATGCTTTGATCGTGAGCCAATTCGAAGATAGCCTCATCGACGTGTTGCAAAGCGATCCTGACACCGCTTCCTGCTACCACACGTACTTGGAGGCTCGTCGAAGGATCATTGAAAAGGGAAAGAACAGAGGCTCCTGGCCCATCAAGGGCGCTCCTGGTGGCAAACCCAAGCCAAAAGGGAAGTTCAGCCCCACTTTCACCAAGGGCAAAGGCTTCCGCAAGCCACTGGCTCAGAGGATCTTGGAAAGTGAATGCCGCCGCTGTGGCCAACGAGGTCACTGGAAGGCTGAGTGCCCCAAGAGATTTGAAGTTGAAGCCAAAACCACTCCAGCACCGACCGCCTTTGCAGGCAATGTGATGATCGAGACCGAGGGTGGTGACACTGAGGCCGATGACATGATTTTGATCTCTGAAGCTGATGTCTCGAAAATGGCCACCTGTCCTATTGTTCAGACAGTTTTTTGTGTTGACACTCAAACCTCAAAGGGGAATTTTGGGGATAGAATGAGTGCCGGGGTTTCCCTGAACATGGACATGAAGCCACTCCGACAACAAGCACAAAGGCTGATTCAGAGCCTTCGCAGTTCGCTGCCTCGTGAACGATCCAAGATAAGCCCCCTGACGATAGAAAGCCATGACCTCGATCAGTGCCGGGCCAACCAGAGCCCCTCCATGGCACATGAGGTTTTGTTCGCTCATCATGGACCATGTGGCATAGTAGACTTAGGTGCAAGTCAGACTGTCATAGGAGAAGCTCAAATCCAACAGCTTTTGATGGAACTGCCACCCAATGCCATGAAGCGAAGCCGCAAAGTTTCTTGTCACACAGTTTTTCGGTTCGGTAATAACAGCACAGTTACATGCTCCTATGCCTATCTAGTACCACTAGCTGATTGGTATGTCAAGATCTGCGTAGTGCCATCCCAAACACCGTTCTTGATTTCTATTCAATGTGTTTCGGAAGCTGGGAGCTGTGATCGATACCGAACACGCCACAATTCATTTTGCCAAGCTGGGCATATCGATGCCACTTTCGTTGACCGAAAGGAAGCTCTTTCTCCTGGACTTCTGCCGACTTGTGTCCAGAGCCTGTGCGAAAAAGCCAAACGCTGCAGGAGTCAACTCCGAGAATGTTTTGCTCAGCATGCATCAAGAATCGAAAGCCGATACGAACCACAAATGTGATAAAATGACTCGTCCGCTTCGATCATTTCCAAAGTGCTCTCACGCAGGGGACACCATCGAAGCACCGAATGAGCCAGCTTGTCCGTTTGAGCCAGCCGAATCCACAGTGACGTCGAGCGCGGGTTCGAGAGTGATCCAACAGGTCCCGCGCACAGTGTCGTCGATTCCAAGCCATGGCCAGCGAATCCTCCGATGTCAGCCTACGATTCCAGCAGGTGACTCGCCAGAGTGCGGAACAACACGAGGAACAAGCGTTTCTCCACCTGAATGTCGAAGAACTGGACCACCACAAGATCGACTTCGGCAAGGAGAAGAAGGGCCAGACATACCTGAAGGTCGTACAGGAGGACCCTCAGCCTCGCTATACGGCATTGTTCACATCGACCTACAAGAACTCCACAAAGGGGCCTCACCGAAAGTTCATCCACTATGTCAGCCTGTACACCGATCGACTCGAACAGCAACTGGCCGAAGAGAAGACTCCAGAGACTCAGCCCAAGAATCAACCCAAGAGTCGTCGACCGATCATGACGTCTCCTCGAGAATGGCAGGATCGAACACCCAGTTCGTCACCTTCGCCAAGTCAGAAGAGCAGCCATTGGGAGATGATCCGCGAGGCGGATCAGTCAGATCGAGGGAGCGCTCAACCAGATTGCGCAACAGCTGGAGTTTGTCACCAACCATCTCAACCCGACCGACCAGTAGGTCTGCCCACTGAGAGCCAGGCAGAGTGTCTGACCTTAGGAAGCCACCAGCGAGTCCAACTGCATGATACCCTTGGCAAAGAACATGTACAGCAACCACGAAACCAAACTGTCTTGGACCCACAGTATTTTCACGATTTGTTGATGAAGGAGGAGATTGTGCCCAATGAGATTTTTCGTGAAATGCATGTGTATTGGGGAAAGAGATTTGGGATCCCAGACCCTCAAGAGCAACGAAGACATTTCAATCACAAGGGGATTGATCTGTTAGAGGTATATTGTTCCAGCGACAGCCAATTGACCATGCAAGCCAACTTGGGTGGATTAGTTGCGTCTCGCTTCGGTCTCAAGCATGGTGATCTCGGAACTTTTGCCGGCCGGTGCGCGCTATATGTCAATGATCAAATATGAAAGCTTAGGCCTAAGCATATCTGGGTATCACCGAAGTGTCGACCATGGTGCTCATGGAGCAGACTCAACCTAATGAAATCTGTTAAGTTGGCCCAGCGCATACTGACCGACCGACGAGCCGAGAGCATCCACCTTCGCCTGTGCTCCTCACTATGTTGTTTGCAGAGATGGCGAGGTCCAGACTACCATTTCCATCTCGAACAGCCACAGGGATCCGAGCTCATGTTTCAAACAGACATGCAACCGGTAGTTGACAGCACTCAGGGTTCTTTGTGATATGTGTGTGGCGGGTGAGTTAAGACACCCCAATAGTCAGGAGCTGCTTCGAAAGCGAACCCAAGTTTGGACGACCTCAGCGATCATGGCCAGTCGACTGGAACGATTGCAATGTCCAGGCTCTCATCAACATGCTTCAATTGCGGGCTCATGCAAAACCCCAGGTCAGGCAAGACAAACAGTCAGCAGTTACACTGAGAACTATACCAGACTTTTTGCACAACATCTAAGTAGGGTCATACAATGTAGTTTGCAAGTGAAGGAAACCCATGAACACAGTCTGTCGGAAGCATGTCACACCGTCTACGCAGCAGAAATCGAAGACACCAATCCTGCTAAGAGGAGACGCCTGAACATGAAGTCACCAGCCGATGCAGCTATTGAACTGTGTAAGGGAGTAGATCGACTGCGAACCATGGACTTTCCTGCAGGGAAGGGAACTCATCGATGGACTTTTGGTCGGGAACGAAAGCTTTTACAATTCTTTCGGACCAACAATGGGAGAACCTTTCGAAATTGTCCCACCGGCAAAAGATTCGCAATGGAACTCCAGCACGTGTAGCCATCACGATTTTTGCTCACCCCAAGGTTTCCGATGAAGGAATTCGGGAAGGAGACCAAAAGCCAGAGAGCACATGCGCAGGGTCAGGGTCTAAGGAAAGTAGATCAGAACTAATGTCACCGAATGGGAAAACGGTCTTAGATTCAATGTCCCAGAAGTGCCGAAGCCAGTGCATGGACCCATGTTTCGCGCTCTCCCAGTGAACATCCAGACCCAACTCATGCGCGCGCGTAAAAATCTTGGACATCCCAACACTGAACAATTTGGCCGAGCGCTGCACGACATGGATGTGCTCCGGCCATACAGCAAGCAGTCCGTGACATGACCTGTGATACATGTCATGAAATGTCTTTGCCGAAAGTTTCCCGACCAGGACACCTGCGTGAAGCTCGGGACTTCAACGATACGGTGCAATTTGATGGAGTCAAGACAATACTGTTTCTATCATTTTGTTGATACAGCAACCAACTTCCACATGGCCATACCATATCATACACGGACCACAGGCTCCTTGATTCAGTGCTTTCAGGCCGCATGGCTGTCGTGGGCGGGACCACCCAAAAGCCTCATGGTTGATAGCGCCACGGAATCTAACAGTGAAGGGTTCTCCCAATATTTGCAAGAACTTGGAATCACAAGTTATGTCATTCCCACGGATGGTCATTGGCAATTAGGAAGAGCAGAAAGACATGGAGCTACTTTGCAACGTATGTTGGACAAAATCTATTTGGACAAGCCGTTCCAACAGAGTCTCATACAGTGTTGCAATGCAAAAAACTCGATGTCAAGGGTCCGAGGATACACACCTGAACTTTTGGTCCTAGGTAAAAGTAGACGACTGCCTGGAAGTGTGTGTGATGATTCGGAGAATAGCTCAAATATCTCTGCACTTCAGACCGAAAGCCATCGTTTTGCACAGCAACTCGCTCTTCGAGAAGCCGCAAGAACGGCTTTTGTGAAAGCTGATCACTGCAATGAGCTCCGTCGAGCACTGCACGGCCGAAGTCGACCCGACAGAAATGTGCACCAGGTTGGGGATTGGACCATGTACTGGAAGAACAACCGATGGAACGGTCCTGCCCGGGTACTCATGTTGGACGGTAACAATGTCATATGGCATATGGCTAAGCCATCTCACCAGACTCCTTCGATGTGCGCCCGAGCGTGTAAGAACTTTGTCCGATCGTGAAACAGGTTTGTTCAAGAGGGACGACCCAAGAGAGCCACCTCCGATGCCCGGAACCGGAGTCTTTCAATATCATCAATTGTCGGAGATGCCTCCAGATTTCGTAAGAGATAGGGAACCACCACAAGCATCCCCGTCAAGACCCAGCCAACCATCCAGCATCACACCCATAACCATAAGTAACGATGAACTTCCTCCTACATCAAACCCGCCAGAGAGTGTTCGATCGGAAGCCCAGCCTGATGCAGAGCCGGACGAGCTCGAACTCACAAGCAATGAGTGTAGATGGTGCCGGAGGTTCTCACGTGACTATGGATCCGAGCTGTGTGCCTGTACCAGAGACAGACGACGACGAACTCATTGTTGATGAGGAGGAAACTCTAAAGGAAATATATGCACTCCAAACCATCCCAGAGCAAGAATGGGCACACTGTTTCGCCATGGAAATTGTTTTGAGCACCTCTGAAATCGAGCAGTGTTGTTCCAAGCAAGGCATGGAACAAGTGATCTACTTGGCATCACAAGCCAAACGCCAGAAGGTAGAGATCAAAATGCAAGATCTCAAGGGTCAAGAGTATGATGAAATGATGGCAGCAAAACATAAGGAAATTGAGTCTTGGCTAGCCACAGAAACTGTTCGTCGCATCGCACGCCACAGGATCCCAGAAGAGCAGATCTTAAGAACCAGATGGGCGTTAACATGGAAACCCCTAAATGCACGGGAACAAGCTGAATTGGGCAAGAGTCGAAAAGCGAAAGCCCGTCTAGTCATCCTTGGTTTCCAAGATCCCGATGTAGAAAAGCTAGACCGGGACGCGCCAACCTTGAGTCGAGACAGTCGAGCTCTAATACTTCAACTCCTGGCTAGTGCACGCTGGGAGTTTAACTCGTTCGATATCCGAACTGCCTTTTTACGAGGAACCCGACAAGATAGCAGAATCCTCGGCGTTGAACCCCCAGCAGAAATGCGATCTAAGCTCAAGCTACAAGATCATGAAGTGTGTGAACTTTTGAAGTCAGCATACGGTTTGGTAAATGCCCCTCTTTTATGGTATAGTGAGTTGTTTGGGATTCCGAATGTCGCCCTTTGACCCTTGTGTCTTCGTATTGCCTCGGGATGAGAAGACTCCAGCAGAAGCAACCGCGACAAACATCCATGGAATCATTGGAATCCATGTCGATGATGGCATTGGGGGCGGTGACCAAGAATTTCACAAAAAGCTCAAATGCCTTGAAGCTAAGTTTCCTTTCGGTAGTCACAGGAAACGAGACATGATCTTTACTGGCTTACACATCCACCAAACAGCAAATGGGGAAATCCAAGTTGACCAAAAGGAATACATCCAGGATATCCCACCGATTCAAATCTCGAAAGATCGGAGAACCGATCTTAAGAACCCCGTTCTACCTCCAGAACTTCAATCATTTCGGGGTCTAATAGGAAGTTTGCAATATGCCGCAACCAATACACGACCTGATATTGCTTGCCGACTTAGTTTGCTACAAGCCAAAATTCCCACTGCCACCGTAGAAGACCTCCTTGAAGGAAACAGATTGTTAATGGAAGCCAAAAAGCATAGCAATGTCAGTATCAAATACCGAACAATCCCGATCCAGAAAATCCGATTCGCAACTTTCTCAGATGCAGCATTCGCCTCAAGGGAAAAGGCTCATTCACAGAAAGGTTGCTTAGTCTTAACAACCAGTGATCAAATAGACCATGATGTTTCGGCCCCAATCAGCGCGCTTGCTTGGTACTCAAAGAAAATCAGCCGAGTCGTTGGAAGTACTTTGGCATCTGAAACGTATGCCCTGTCGGGAGCTTTGGACTTGCTCGGGTGGTTGCGCATCCACTGGGCGTGGCTGATAAGTCCCTCGTTAGAATGGCAGAAGCCTGAACAGGTATACGCGCAGATCCCGAAAGCATTCGCGATAGTTGACTGTAAATCACTGTATGATTTGTTGCAAAAGACTTCAATGCCCCAGTGCTCTGAATATCGCACCACGTTAGAGGCCCTAATCATTAAGGATCGTTTATTTGAAGGAGTCGCAGTGAAATGGGTTCACTCGGCCGCTCAAATGACGGACGCATCAACGAAACACATGGACACCACCCCATTGCGTCTACTGTTAGAACAGGGCCATTGCAGGATCCATGATATAGATGTGGTGCTTCAACAACGAGCTGACAAGAAACTTCGCCACCAATGGATTCAAGACTCTTCTCAAGCACAGTGAATCCAAAAGAAAAAAAATAATTAGACTTTTTTAGGAGTGTGATTTGCAGAGTGTGACATGTCCCTGAAGCCTGTTCAGCACGTCGTTCGAACCGCCATCACCTTTGGCTACAAGTCAGGGGGCTTAGGTTGCGTCCGGCGGTGTATGGTTGGGCGAGGATGCCCCACTTCGATCAGGAGATCGTGCTTGGACCTGAGGCCAGGTGGAAAAGAAGCGCCAGGGCGCGTGAGAAGGCCAGTGGCTACCAGTGTGTGATTGGGAAACCCCCAATCCACAAATGCTATATATATATATATATATATATAGTTGTACAACGTGTGGTTCCACACATTCCAAAATGACACTGTCAAATTGTCCAGCTTCATTGCTTTCCCCACCACCCGCGTGGTGTGGGTCTTGGTGCTCATGGATTGGGATGCAGGTGGGGGGCCTTTCCAAGTTGCCTATCATAACGGCGCATTCCTCCTAACTGCTTCAATGGGTTCGGTTTTCATGGTATGTGCGATATCTTCTCCACGCCCCATTCCCCCAAAACACAATAAACATATGTAGATAAATGTAATACACGTGCATGTGTGAATCCGGCCAGGTGTTCGGTGCATTAGCATGTTTTTTTTGAATCTGTTGCATGCAAACTGTTTCAACGCATTCCCACCCTTTTTGGGCACGCTATCTCTGCGTGTGGTGAATCACTAGAAGCAACGAGTTTCGAAAAATTGTCTTTGGCCCCGCAGGACAAAGACATCGAGATGCGGGAGGACGAAGAAAGGCTGTGCCATGGGGCCATGAGTAACGGGGAATGCGCTCGCCACATCTCAGCTGCTTGGTGTGTGGACATGGATTTTGGGGAATCGCGCTCTTTATCTCTTTTAGCAGCTACACAGACCTACACACAAAAAAACAGAACAGTCGGTTTTGGAGGCACATGAAACCTATGAAATGGATTTGATAAGATTTGAAGATGTTTTGGTCAGGGTCGGTGGAAAAAGGAAGCAAGCTACCCAAACCCTACATAGATCTACTTGCTTTGGCACTGAGCATACTTGCCATGTGGAGTAAAACCACCTTGAGATGCCAATCCTTCTCAGCTCGCGCAGATCTGTGGGCCGGCCTCGGGCATCTGACAAGGCGGTGTATGAAAGACAGTCTGCGCAGAGCTTCCTTGAGAGTTGTTAACAAGTTAACGAGGGAAAGCAGTGGGACCATGTGACATCATGTGACCATGGCTGCAAGCTTTGCTCAGTTCTTTGTTCTGTTTCACCTTTGACATTGCGCATGCGCATGCCCCACGTTTAGCCGTGTCACCGCTATTTGTTTGATGGCCTTCCTTATTGCAGGTCAGCTGCTTCTCGGTGATGTATGTGGCATTCAGGCGCCAACGGCCTCAGGACTTGTTGCTCCAAGTGACCCGTCGCATGATTTGGACCACTAGGGAAGCCCTGGTCTCCGTTGACAAACGGATAAGTGCAGGGTCTGAAAAACTACCTAAAGATGTTTTTCACCACGTTTCACTACAAACGTCTACCTATGGATATGCTTCGATGGAAATCTCTGAAATCTCTATTTGTTGCTGTGCTTTTGTTCATCCTGGAATATCTTTGTAGGAACTTTTCACTCTACTGTAATGTAAATCCCTACTCATCGATACTTTTCTCTAGACGTCTCTAACTTTTTTTTTCGCTACGATAAACGTCTACTTGCCGACCCCTTTTGTTTGACACCCTTTGTTGAGTACATTTCTCAAAGACATCTACTTTGCAGCGCTTTGCTTGTTGGCTGCTAAATAGTAGAAGCCTCTACCTGCCATCCTTTTCTAGCTTGCGCATGCTTGCGAGCCATGAAAACGCATGAACATACGTTTGAATGTAACGTTTCTGTTGCTCGACCCTCCGCCTACCTTCCGCCATTGCCACATATAAAAAGAAGTTGTTCAGCGTGCATAGTGCATACTGCAATTAACACGCCGAAGGCGCCGGAAATCTTTGCGCACCCCACCCGGACCCATCTTGCCCTGTGTGAACCAGCGATGGCCTCCAACCTACGTACTAGCGATGGCTTCTCACCTAGTCTCTCCTATTCATTGTTCAGGCCATTTTTTCATGTAGGTTGCCGCGGGGCGTGAGCCATTCGTTTCGTCTCCCGAAGGGTGCCCTCGTTGCCTTGCTGAGCAAGGGTTTGTCTCCCGGACGAAGGAGTCTTAGCGCAAAGGTAAGTTATATAAGACCTCATGACTTGGACAGATTCTTGAGCAGGCTGAAGGCCATGAGCAGTCCGCAGCGGACCAGAGCAGCCCGCCATTTTGGCATGGCCAGAGCAGACTGCAGCGGCCGTAGGTCTCTCAAGATCCATTGCGGTCTGCCCCAGCCTTATTTCACCTCCCTCTTTCTCCTCCCTCTCCCAGGAACCCCACTATCCTCAGCGCAGCCCTGGACGCTTGTGTCGTAGCATTCGTAGCTGGGAGCACCTGGACGCCTTTGTCGTCGCTGGGAACCTGCCCCCTTTTCTTTCCCCCCTCCCCGTTTTACGCAGGCCATTTTTCACCTAGGTTGCCATGTGGCGTGAGGCATTCGTCTCGGTATGCAATATCCCGAGTGTGTGTCCGAGCACGCACGTCTCTCCGGCTCAACTTTGCGCGATGCAGAACCCTCTCATCGATGTTGGTTGTTTACTTTCAACGTCTTATTGAACTATGATGCACTGCACTTCTTACGTCCCTTGTTTTCGGATGTTTGCACTCATACGCATCGCAAGTGCCGCTCTAGACTCAAGACAAATTCAAACTAGACTGGATGTTCTTTCCAGCGAATTGAAAAAGATTGCTTTGAGAATCTTTGAGATGAATGGAGTCACATTTTTGAATCGATTCAATCACATTACTGATCTCCTTCTTTGCAGGTTTCTGTCACAGCTTTGCAGCTGGTTGGGTTCTCAGCATGTTCAAGTTTTTCAGCATGCCACAGCCCTTTTTGTTGCAAATGCAAGGTCAATGTACATCATGATCTAATTATATATTCGGTTGTTTGCAATTTGCTGCGGAGTTTGTTGTCGATGTGAATGATGAAATTAGGAAAGGGGAGGTCGGTCATGCTGGCAAGACCTTGGGTTGTCGGCCTTTGTGTGCGTGTGTATGCAATGTTGTCGTACCGGGGATGGTTGCACTTTCCTGAGATATTTTACAGCGATTGCCAAAGGTTCTTTGTGTTGATAAGAGGATGCACACAATTTCAATCAATTTCATTTTCTCCCAATTTTGGGTTGAATGGTGTTGAATATCCTTCCGTGTGTTGATTTTTATTGTGTGTGCTTTAATGTTTTAGCGCTTGCAATAAGATTCAAAACCACAGCTGTCAGGCCTGCGTTTAGGCGTGCCTGCCCACTTATGCTCAGTTTGGGCAGAGAGAGTTTTTGTTAGTCAAGTGAGGGGGATGCCCATCGCTTCTGGTTGAGCAAAGTCAACCGTGTTTTGTTCGACCCGTTGTTTCCGCTTGTAAAGTACTTTGAGAAAAGTTGCTGGAATAAGCCAAGAAAGACTCGCACGTGCACATCTTGGGTCCCAGAGAGACCGGTTGAAGCTGTTGGTTTGATGTCATACTGCCCCAAGTATAGTTTGAGTGTCCAAAGCATGAAGGCAAGAATAGTATCAAAATTTCAGGCTTTGAGACAAATCAACGTGCACTCGGCTGCCAGGAAGGCGGATGCACCAGTTCCCTGAGGGAATAGGTGACAGCATTTGCGCTGAGTGAATAGGTTGATGACCTAGCGTGGCAAGAGTTTTAAAAAATCAACCATTAAAAAACTACAATCATATGTTTGGGTCCCTTTAGAAGCCGGATCTTATTGAAGGGGCTTGGAACTTGTGCCGTTTTTTTCCTTTCTTGAATTATATAGTTTATGCCAAGTTGCAGACTTGACCAAGTTTGTCAGCGCAGGTGTCGAAAGTTTGGTGCTGGAGAAAGGCACCACGACATGTGGAACAGGATGGGAAGAGGATATCATTTCTCACACCGTGCCCCAAATAGATCACTATATAAATCATACATAATCATACTACGACTAAATCCACATGCGTGTACATTTCCGTAGCTGCAGGCTTTGAAGTGGCAGGACTGCCAATGTACTGCAGTCGCCATGGATGTCGGCAGGTTTTAAGCAGCAAAAGTGTGTGGCAGCAGGGCGATATGGGCGATAAGGTATTGGTGAGAATCATCATGGATACGCTTGACAATTGAATGGACCATGCTCTCTACTTTGGAGTCCCAATCCTGTAAACATTGAAAGCCTTTCAACATTCTCCCCCAGTAATGGTGCACCTCACTACTTAGTACAGCCATGCGGCCTACTTTGCGCTTTGGCTGTAGCGTTTGAAAGGGCACCATCCAGAATTCAAGATATCCTAGCATGCATGTTTTGAGCGTGTCCAGCTCGAAGTCCAGGGGCAGCCTAGTTTGGAGAAGCAACAAGAGCTGAGGATGGAGAAACATGGAGAAACTTTGCAGCCAAGTCTATACACTGCATACAAATCCATATACGTATCCTTAGACAATCTCGTATGGTGTTGATTATTGCACCTGCATTTCTCATCTTGAGCCTTGAATTGTGTAGTCGTGGGAGCCACAGCAGCCGGATGTTTCAGGAAAAGCTGCAGTTGGCAGTCCTGAGTTGCCTATGTGTGGCCAGCGCAGACAACTGTAAAACAACATGCTTTGGTCCAAAGCATGCCCTAGAATTCAGGAAAACCCTCGAGGACTTGCGTCATCATGATTTGCTCAAAATTGTGCCTTTTGTATTTTCTACTGTGGTCTCCTTTGCTTTGAACATGCCACACCGCTTTTGGGTTGCATGTTGTTTGCATGTTGTTGCATCGATCTTAGGATATGAAAAAGAGAGTCCTCCCTTTCCAAGCTGCGGATCTGCTGTGGACGTTCAGGTCCAGTTCTTCCTGGAAAGCTTTGATTCAGTCGATGAGCAGCATGAGTCTGTATCCGTGACAGGTTACATTAGGCATTGGTGGGTGGATCAAAGACTGGCTTTTGCTCAGGATACGGATATGGGAAACATGTGTGTCAATGTGCTGATCATTCCTAGTGACATCATTTGGACTCCAAAGCTATATATCTACAACGCCATCAAGCAGATTCACCAGAACAATGATGCCATGACGTCGGTGCATGCGAATGGCACGGTGTTTCATGCCATTGCCTTTCGCGGGAGCCTCAAGTGCGCTATGCAATACCATCGAATGCCCTATGATCAGCACGGATGCTTCATGAAGATCGGGCGCTTCGATGAGACGACGGAAAGTATCCAGGTGAGGCCAAGGCATGGTTCGCAGGAATATATGAAACTGGGCACAACACGTGCGATTCGCGCTGTTTTGTGGTCTTTTATGATCTATTGAGCGTGCACACAAGTGCATTGCGGTCTCGTGTTCTTTCACCAAGGAAACAGAGTGGTGTTGGCGTTGTTGGAGACAAGATGCTCTCACCCGCATGGTGCCCGGCTCAGAGATTCAGGGCTTCCTCGCCACAAATGAACACAACACCGGCAATACCGAACCTGTGATGAAGCCGATGAACTCGACTGAGCTTTTGGATGCTTTTATAATGCCAAAGTCAAGCTTCCCCCTTCTCCTGCTGTAGTTCGATAGGCACAATGTTCGCAATTTATTCAACCCTGGTAGGGTGAAATGCACCATATTGGGGGAGGGCTCTTGGGGAGGATCAGAAACATACAAGATGCACTCAAGGACCTTTGCCTCATGAGGGGCAGCGTTGCGCCTTTGCACCTCGGTGTTGGAATAGTCTTCACACTTCAGCAAAGATGCAAAAAGGCATCAAAACGCACCACCTGGCTGCGAGCCAGAAAGACCAAAACAACAGGACAGCAAATTTAGCAAGGAGAGAACAGAAGTGATGGCAAACAAAGCAAAGAAATAAGCAAGGAAGACAAGGAAACCAAGGTAAGCAGCCAAAACAAGCAAAAAGCAGTAACCAGGAAGCAGAAGGTAAACGCAAGGGGCCCCAGAAAATCAGAGAAAGAACTGCAAAGAGAAGCACAAAAATACAAGCACTGCAGAAGCCGCAACGGGCAAAACTCCTCAGCTGGGCTTACAGGCTTACGTTGCGCTGTCTCCTCTTGTCGATTCCACATTCGATCCTTCGCAACACAGGCTTCAGCAACATGTGGGTAGCTTTGGGCCGTACCCTGGAAAACTGTCGGGTCAACAGCCACCGGCATTTCGTAACAAATGCACTGTTGGGTGATGTTAGGTGCAACAAGTACTGGCTGCATGATTCCTGTAGCGCATGGCAAAGTGAGCACAACATTCCCACAAACTCCTCAAAAATTCCATTGGGGGCCCAGACCCTGTTTATTGTAAGAACCATTGCGGCCAACATCAACAGTCCCAAACACATGCAAGCCGCGGCGAGGTCCGTGAAACCTGCCAAACACCAAATCAAGGATCAACGAAGCAAATGTATAGTACAACACCATATTGCACGCTCACCCCAAGAGGGCTGCAAGTCAGGTAGAAGCAGTTTGTAGTTTCTATTTGTGTCACTAAGGTTCATCGAGAATGAACAAAATATTTCTACTCCTGGTGTGCGAACCAAAAAGTATTGGCCTGATTTGGAAGGGTCAACGGACATTGTGTTCCTTCCTTTCAAGTTTGCTCGGCGACCTGGGTATCTTGTTCGAATGGTGCTGGTACCCTCTTGGCTGTTTCTGATTGTGAGCTACACCGGCTTCTTTATTGATCCAAAATCAGCTCCTGCTCGTGCAGCGGTGGCCCTACTTCCAGTTCTCATCATGCGAACTCTGCAAGGTTTTGTGTTCTCCAAGCTCCCACAGGTCGCAACCTGCGTGTGGCTTACAGACTACTTGCTGGGCTCTATGATTATGTGTTGCTATGCGGCTGTGCACTTGGCCATCGTTCAGCTTCTCTTGGGCTCAGAAGAGAAAGCAGCGGAGAATTTGCAACGCCTAAAGAAAGTCGAGAAGACCGCTCGAAATCTGATCGAAGAGTCGCGTGAAAAGACGCATGACTTCCATTGATGTTCAAATGCCCGACATCTCCAAAAGTTCCAAACCGAGCTTCGATCATTTGCTTGCCTTTCTTGGATTGGATGATGTTTATTCCTTCTTTCACATATATAATACGAACTTGGCAATGCAAAGTTGTTCGTTTGTTTGTTTGTGTTAAGATATCACTCCACTGCGCACTCCAAGACTGCCAACTTCACTGTTGGCTCAAGTCACTGAGAAAAGATCACAGCTGCTGAGTCCACTGTGTGTAGGACTGCGGCTGTAGGTTGCACAGGTGATTGATCCTGAATATCTCATGGTAGCGGAGCTCTGGCTCCTGCTGCAACTGTACAGAATGTAGAACTGTAGAACTGAAGCAATGGCCCAACTTGAAGAATCGAATACACTGGAAGGAAGCAACAAGCTTCCACTTCTGACTCAATTCTCAGGAAAGATGGAACAATGGGAAGACTGGAGTTGGTCTGTGAACGACACCGATCACTGATGAGAGACTGGGGACTTTGGAAGCTGATAATCCTCAATTCGTTGACACTGGTTTATGTAATTCGACTTAGCCGTCAATGGCACTACTGTAACTTGCTGTCTCAGGTGACTACTAATAGTGCCAGACTGGTAGGACGTGGAAATGTTGATATGAATGGTTTTGAAACATGGCGCTTGTTGAGCATTTTGTTTTCGCTGCCACAAACTGCACTTTGAGCAAGACTACAGCGAATGGGAAACACTGAAGGCCAGATATGAACGATAATCCGGAGCACCACTGCAACAACACCTGCGACTGAATGCAAGAACGATGGACATGCACGACACTGTGAGAGAGGCTGGACAATGGAGGACCCGCGCCCATGGACGTAGGAGCAGCGGAGAAAAGGTGGAAGGGGCAAGACTGGCCCCCACTGGAAAGGCAAAAGTAAAGGAAATCTTGGCATGGAAGGCAAAGGTAGCGGCCGCCCCCTTCGGCCCACTCAAAGCAAAACACAATTGCCTGTAGGAAGGAAGCCACCTAGACTGCAGGGAAGAAAACTGGCGAGATATAACGCTGACGGAGTAACAATGTTTGTGAACTACTATGTTTGCGACGCCCCCTTTTGTCTAGTTTCCGTTGCCCGCTTGATCTTGCAAGGTTACTGGACTGTTCTTGGTAAAGGCTGCGTGAAACTATTGACACCGGATGACCAAACTTAACTGTGAGCGTCATTACACACGGCACAATGGTGTATCTCACACCAGCCACTGTGGACTGTGGACTATGATGAAACTGTCACGGGTCCATGTGAACGTGCGCTGGAAGAGTACATGACCGCACTGGATGTTGAACTGTGAACATACCACAACAGAACATGAGCGCTGACTGATCAATCCCATTCGACCAAAGCCATACTACCACACTGACTTTTCGCTGATTAGGGCTCACAAGAGACCAAGAAGAACAATGCTCACGCCTTTCAGATCAGATTGTCCTGTTCCACTGGACAGGTTCACGGGCGTGAGAATCGCCATTGACTTTGGAGAGGGAAATCTACAGACTGTTTCGGAACTTCAGGACATTGGACAAGAAATGAAATGAAGGAACACTGGAAAGGCAGAACTGTTTTTCACCTGAAGTTGGAATTGCCACTGAAGAGAGCAAGAACCAAGGCTTCACAGCGGCCCTGAATCACATGAAACAGACAGACGAACTGTCGATCGACACTGGTAGTGTATCCGATCACTCGCATGACGCACGCAATCCTATTGCCAAGCTGTTGACGTGCAAGGACTGGGACGATGAAGAGTTCAAAGCGCTCCTGTTGACGGTGTTTCAAACCAGATCCTGAAACTGGAGGAGGTCGGACATCAGACTACTGGTTACACACACCTGTAGCCTGGGCTCGTTTTCATGACGGTGCGCAACAAGACTTCTTCACTCCGGATGACGCCGGACCAGACCACTCGGAACTAGGACACTTGAGAGTGGTTGTTCTCTTCCTTACCAGGGACGACTGGAATAGAAAGATTCAAAGTCAAAGTGGTATGTGGATGACTGAGGATCAGACTGAGGCACCACTGGTGCTGCTTGTCATTCTGACTGGCTTCACTGATTTCGAAGACCCCAAAGGGAAGTCATTGCTGGACAAGAAACGCACGACGAAGCGGTGTGCACTGCTAAAGCACTGCCTAGCCCAAACGAACCAGCTGCGCAACAGCGAGCGCAACACTGCCTGACACACTTGCCATTTCGATCACGGCAATGGTGTGAACACTGTGTTCGAGCAAAAGGAAAAGAGCGACAAAGCTGACAAAACACTGATAGACAGCCTGCGATTCAAGCGGACTACTCGTTCGCTACAACTGGCACGATGTTCAACAGCGGACAAGCCTGAATGCGACTGATGTTCAGACTGGACTGTCTACTTCAGGTGTTGTTCCAAGCAAAGGGAGACACGCCGAAATTCATCTTTGGAACTGGCAGAACTTTTCGAATTCTACAGTATGACAAAGAACTTGCACTGAAAGGGTTGGTCACTGACACAGCAAAACAACTTGGAGGCATGACATGAGCGTTCGAGCGACTACTAAGGCCTGGAAGCAAGCACATGGTTCGATTGGAAGGAGAGACATTGCATTTTTCCGTGGCTCAGTTCCATCGCTACGTGACACACGAAGACGGACAAACCTCCTACGGCCGTAGATGGAATGGAACAATATCCAAACTGGATTCTGTGAATTCGGGGAAATTGCGCTGTTTAGACAGCCTGGACAACTACACGACAAAGCTGACGCTGCGTGGCTGGAAGGCATTTGGCTAGGACCGCTATAGGAAAGGACACTGAAGCTGAAGCAGATGGGCCGCTAGTGTTTGGAAACGGTTCCATGCACAAAGTGTGAACTGGGCGTTGAGTCAAGCACTCAAGCACTGCGCAAAGCACTGAATGTGCCTCCTTAGAACCCAAACGAGGACACTACTGACACCTCTTTTGCCCTCCGCCATCACTGAGCACCACTGGACGTATCCGCGAACCACCCGGGCTTGAAAACGTGAGATGAGATGATGACAACTTGTTCCTGAACGCGTTAGAAGTCCAAAACGCAATCTGAAGAGGAACTGCCAGACGAAGAAACACAGGAAACGAAACACAAACGATTCGAGCGCTTGTTATTACTATTACTCTTGCTATTTTTACTATTTTTGTTATTATTGTTATTATAAATGTACATATATATATATATGTGTGCGTCCTCATACGTATTCACAAGCTCGATTTATGAAAAAAAATCTTTATATATATATATATGTATATGTCTTGACCTTGAATGTCCTCAACTAACCGTGACATCGAATGAGAAACATCATCTGTCATCTGTATGGCCAAGCGCTCACGTCACAGTGAGGCTGTCTAAGGATAAGTTTTGTCTTGCTATTGACAACTATTGACACGAAGATCGACTGTCGACATGAAAAGAAGTCATGCGCACATCGTTGCTTCAGAGCCAGAGCCCTTGCTGGTGATTCAGGGAACGCACGGCGTGAAAGAGTGTTAACCCGTTTCATGGAGGTGACAGGTCGCAGACCCTCTGATCACAAAGCAATTGTTCCCTCTATTGAGCAGGCATCTAAGTAATTCTTGTTCTGGAACTCCCCTGACGGGACCGACGGGCTTGACGAGCCCGACGGGAAGACACACCCAGAGGACCATGGCCACAGCCACAGCACTGTGACTGCCAACTTGGTCACTATGGGCGCTGTACGACGCGATCTTCACTGCACCACTGCGCATCGCCGCTGAAATCCTGAAGACTGGAATCGCGCCTATCAGCCTATCACTTTGCTTGGAAATGGTCAACTGACAGCACTGCTGCAGACGCTGCAGATGTACTGGACGAAGGCCATCACACAGCGACGCACAAATGAATGACAAAGGAAAGAGCCCCTGGTCGTTGTGGCATTCGACCCTTCAGGCGAGAATCGTTGGACATATTGTCCAAGGGGACTACTGCCGCTGCGAGGACACTGATTCACTGCAAGAGAACTTCGTTCTCAATGAGGTTGAACTGGCAGCGGGACTTGCGGTTCAACTGATTCGCCATGAGCTGAAGGGCACTCCGCCTTTCGGACTGCACTGGCCAAGGACTCTATGGCACTGATGAAGAGGGCACTGAGCGCACTGCCCAAGAGTACTAACTTCACTCCGGGCAAGGTTTTGGCCCCGCTCATGCTGGCAGAATCGGAGGAGATAGGAATTGGTTCGAATCAGCGCCCTCCACACTCTGTCCCAGCCACACCTACCTCTGTCATGTTCAAAACAATCAAAACCTATCAAAAAGAACAAAAATGGATCAAAATCAATGAAAAACATGAAAAATCAATCGAAAACTATTAAAACGGATGAAAATCAATGAAAATCAATCGAAAACAATGAAAAACAACAAAAAACATGTAAAAAACAATCGAAACCAACAAAAAACATGAAAAACGCACAGAATCAACAAAAAACATGAAAAATCAACCGAAAATCAACAAAATATACAAAACACAACGGACACTTGACAAGAAGTGCACAAAAGCAGAGGACAAGCAAAGGAAAAGTAGAGGAACAGTAGCGGAAAAGTAGCGCCTCGACTGTTCCTCGACTTTTCCTCGACTGTTCCTCGACTGTTCCTCGACCGTTCCTCGACTGTTCCTTTGTTTTTCCTTTGCTTTTCTTCTGTTTTTTTGGCGCTTTTTGTCAATTTTTCGTTTTGTTTTGTATATTTGTGGATTGTCGGTTGACTTTTCATGTTTTTTGTTGATTCTGTGCGTTTTTCATGTTTTTTGTTGGTTTCGATTGTTTTTTACATGTTTTTTGTTGTTTTTCATTGTTTTCGATTGATTTTCATTGATTTTCATCCGTTTTAATAGTTTTCGATTGATTTTTCATGTTTTTCATTGATTTTGATCCATTTTTGTTCTTTTTGATGGGTTTTGATTGTTTTGAACATGACGGAGGTAGGTGTGGGTGGGGCACGGTGTGGATGGGCACAGCCCTAAACAAATTTGATTTAATCGGATGCGTTTTTTATTGGGCGGGAACTGCGCCAGGTGGGACAGCGTGGGGCACAGCGTTTCCCAATATCCGCACAGTCTGGAGTGAAGTTAGTACCCAAGAGCATTCCACGGTGAACTCCGAAAAGTACAAGATCACTGTGTGGAGTCACAAACGGCATCATTGCGAAGATGGAACTGTCAAAAGACTGAACTGTGCAGTCACAAACTTTGTTGAGTAGGCACTGACGAAATTCTCATGCAAAGTCGCTGATCACAGTTCAAGGGGGAGTCTTACGATATCCTGTTGTGTAGGACTGACAACTGTAGGTTGCACAGGTGATTTATCCTTGAATTTCGCTGCTTGTTTGTGCGTTTGCGTGTTTGCCAGCCTGCCTGCCTGCCTGCCTCTCTCTTTGTTTGTTCTACGGCGTTCTGTCATTCCAGGAAAACTTTTGTGGCCACTTTGCTCAACGACTACGCGCCAGAGGTGAAGAACACTGATGGGCAGACAACGCTAGTTTCATATTTGGCCAAGAAGCATGGTGAGACAGCAACAAAGTCAGAACGCTTGGGCCAGAGGACATACCGTTCTTACAGTGAGTTGATGATGTCCACTCCGAACACGAAAGAGGCGGGCTCTGATCCAAAGGATGACGATGCCCTTCCATTGCTTGAGATATCTTCTGACGCATCAAGCCCACGGGGCAAAATACGAACGACGTCTGTAGAACATTTTGATGCACACTTCGCCCTCAACGTGCGGCGTAATGCTTTGCATTCACCTATTGAGCAAAGGCAGACGACGGAAGGTGATTTGGCCGTCATCCGCTACTTGCTAAGCCTTTGGCAGCGTGAAGTCCCACAAAGCGACCCAACAGCCACACCAGAGATGCTTCGAAGGGTCATGACCAGCTTCAACATCTATATGACAACATCAGAAACTGCGAACATCATGTGCACATTCCTTCGGGATAAAGGATTTGACACTTTGGAAGATGTCGGCCAGGTGCGGATGATATTTTCGCTATTTATGGAGCTCCTTTTAGATATCGAGAAGTACGAGATTGCAGCGAAACCGGAGTGGTATAGGGTGCCACTTTCCAAGGCAATTCCTGGGTCGCGGAGGCTGGATGTGACAATGCAGATCCTTTACCCTGTTTTGGTTGTCCTACATGCTGTGATCTCATTTGCCCTCATTTGTGTCTACCCTGAGAATCCTGACATGGGATTGGTGGCCGATATGAATAGCGTCATGCGCTGGCAATAACATGCAATAGCCATTTGAAGCTATCTAAAGCTCAAAACCAGCTAAATCCACTTCATTTGATCAGTGGTGTCCATCGCTGGATTTGGAGAGCTCCAACGCAAACACAAAAGGAAAATTGCCACTGCTTTGATGTTGATTGGTTTCACAAGGTCAGTTTTCACGAACCTTGGAATCTCCATGGTTTCATTTGTGCGATTTGTAGCAGCAGGAAATAGGCCACCAAGCTTCAAAGCCAGGTTTGGAAGTAGCTTCGAAAGTTCCAATGGAAAAGGCTGTCAGTGCTCAAGCTGAGATTCGTGCGAATGTTTGAAAAGCATTGAGTTGGCACTAGCCTGGTGTTGCAAGAAGCCTTTCACGTGAAGTGAGTTTCAATCAACCACAGGGGGGTTCGCTCGCTGCCACAGCTTTTACCCTGCCAGTGAAGCTGCCACCACAACGAACATTGCTGGAACAGACGCTTTACCCTCAGCCGTCAACTAGTTCCATACACGGGCGTCAGTTTCAGGCCTTTTTTCATAGATGTCCATAGTAAAAGTGTTCACATCATAGGTCCTACACAAAAAAACAAACAGTGGGAAACACAGTTTTGCGTTCGGTTTGTTGTGCCAAAAGTGGTTGGCCTTTGACTTTAAAGACTTTAAAGGCTCGAGTCTCGAGTTATTATTTGTGGACACAGACTATTCCAGCAAAGGAACTTGAAACTTCTTGCAAACCTGTGCGTGAGCTAGTGGTTTGTCGTATCGTAGAGACGTCAATACCAGTTGGAGCAATGAAGCTTTTCGAGTGAAAATGTATCATCACACCCGTGTTTGGATCGTAGTTTAGGTGCATCAGTCGATGGCGATCCACTGCGAGACGCCACTCGACCAAGTTCCCTTTCCCTGCCTGCTGTAGTATCTCTACTTGAGTACAGATCGTCATGATGTGCGTCAGGATGCGTCGCCGCAATGATATATTTCATATGTTCCAGATGAGGTTGCCTACAATGTAGGCAAACCGATTTGCTCGAGCAAATGAAATGACCAGTCCATCCCATTGCAAGCGCGGGGTGCACGCAACTGTCACCAGCGATCTGCACGGATCCGGCGACCACTATGGGTTCAACCTCCTATTCTGCTTTCCCGGAACAAGTTCTGAACCTCGATCATTCTGTTTATCATTTGTTTATCCATGTCTATCATCATAACCAGATTGTTGTTTCCTTTTAATATTGCTTTGAGATTATATTTTGGAAATCATGGAGAGGTCACTTTCCAACAATGTCAAAGTTCGCCGGCCCTAGAGGTCCGCACAGTGAACATTTGGTGTTGGTGGATATTGGAGTTTGGCAATCCTTCGCGGAAGAGCAAATCGCGTTTATGGGGTTTGGATTTGTAACTTGCTCATGCATGACTAGCTCTCACAGTGAGACAGACCAACAGAGCGTGAGATTCCTGGTGCAAACGGCAGGGATAATATCTCAATGGTGGGGTCTTTGTGGTTTTGACGTTGACAGGTGGACAGGACAGGCACTGGATGGATCTTTTCTGGGGACCACGATCTGGTGGGTCGGAAAAGCACATGAGCGCTTCTGCGAGGAGTTGGTTGGAGAGGATTTGAGGATTCACACTTGCTGCAGGGTGACCCCCGGTCAAAAATGACGATCTACTGTAATGTCTTTAACAACGAATAACTATATAATTGGACAACTTTTACCTAAAGAATGAGGACAAAGAGCTTTGAATTGGAGAAAGAAGGCTTGATAAGATCTTGTTTCTTTTGTAGGGCCTGAGGTGGAACAGAGGATTCATGCAGATAAGCCTCTGCACAAGGGGAGAGTAGAGAAGCGGAATTTGAAAATGTACAATTGCCAACTTCAGAAGAAAGATTTGATTGGGGGGGAGTGGTATGGAGACAGCGGTAGTTCTGAATGGAAGCTGTGGCAAGGCTCGAAACGGGTTGCCAGAAGAAACCATGTATGTATATATATATATGTATATATATATATATATTTTGTATGTGTTCGCGCGTGTGCGATTCAAAACGGGGGAAGTAGCGAAGCACGTGTTCCGCGGTTATTTTTCATCGACCCTCTGATGCTACCTCCCATGTTCAACCAGTCTTTCCCCGCTTCGCCATCCACCCTTTAAAATCGCTTTGCAGGCTCTGCTTGCTATGTTTACAATCGATTTCGCCTCAAGTCCGTTCCCCATTTCCTCCTCGAATGTTCGATAGAACCATATGTTTCCACAAGAAAGAATTACCCCTACTAGGAAATCAGTTGTACATATGTTGTACGAAAATCAATAAGAGCGTTGAGCTTAAGAAATTGGAAAAAGCGCTCTAAGGTCCAGAGAGTCGAGAACTAGTGATGTGGAAGGGGTCCTTTAATCCGCCCTCTCCATCTCCAAAATTTGATTTTGATATTGTTTGTGCGGTGGAATGACGAATGCAAAATTGCCATGGTCGTTGGTTTTACATGAACGGATGTCACTGAAGGTTTATTATTTGGGGACGTTTAGTGGAGAGAGTTCCAAATAGAAACAAGTGGGCACGCCCACGCAGTTGAGCAGGGTCTTTTAAATGAGGCAAGTAGCGCAACTTGTCCAGTATATATAATATATATATATATATAATGGAGGAGTGTTTTAGAGAATATGTATAAAGGATGCTTGAGAATGCCGACAACAAAACATGAGCAAGGACGAAATGGGACAAGATTCGCGAAAATTAACGAAGACAGGCCAATGAAAAGAAGATGTGGGAAGACAAAGTTTGCAAAGCGAGCTTTGGTGCGAACGGTTGGATAAATTTGATTAAAAACAAAGGTTTAGGCTTGCGAGGAGACGTCATAAAAGTAGTATACCCATGTTGTTTTGGTTTGTTGTTTTGTTGCTGGTTGTTATGGGGATATGTT